TTGTATTAGGGTAGACTAGAGGCCCGATGCACGAAATTCATGCAAGAGTAGGCCTTCATTTCCCTGCTGTCGGCACCAGCTTCCCTCTGGCACCCGGGACCCGGGCTTTGCTCCAGCCGCGGCAGGCGCCTGGGATGTAGGCTTTCCTCTGGCCCCGGCTTCATCCAGAAGGATGTCCAGAAGGATGTCCAGTCTAATTAGCATATTACCCTTTTATTATTATAGATTGTTACCACCACAGACTGTTTGCTCTACCAAGATGAGGATTCTAGTTGTATTGTTGATAATTGTCTTTCCTCATTGTTAAGCATAAGGTTTGAAACATTTCTTGAAACAAGGCTTGAAACATATATATCCCATGTTCAAAGGCTGTTAAATCGCATTGTTTACCCATATCTTCAGAAAAAAATCACTTCTACTGTGGTGGTAAACAACCTCCTTCCCTATTTATAATGGTCTGGCCCTCTAGCAACTTCAGCGCGAAATGATAGCTAATTTGCCTACAAACGTCAGGTGGTCATAATAATCTGGCCACTCAGCGTGTATCTACGTCTTAGTGGCTGGACAATTCAACCCAGTAGAAGGTTTTTCCTGTCCCCAGTTTTAATTGAAAAGGACAGAGTGAGAATACTGTAGTAGAGGACAGAATGATGATTGCTTACAGCTACAGTGATACCTTGCTCTCATTTCAGCAGTTTTTGTGTACACACAACAAAATAATCGTTGGAAGAACACAGTATCACCTAGTGTTTAAAAATGTGGACTCAATGACCAGACTGCCTGGATCTGAATCACCCCCTCTATTTGCTGGACTTTGGTTTACTGCAAATGGATTATAATAGTAATTAGTATGCATGTATATGTATATGTATATATGACTTCATATATCTATATCTATATAGATATAGATATATAGATATATATTATCCAAAAAATGTATGCACACTTTGAATAATTATAAAGGCAGTATTTATTTATTAAAATACATTTCATTTTCAAAATTGAGCTTTCAGCTGTTAAAATGTGTTTACATTTTTTGGGACACCCTGCACCAGTAGATGACTTCAGCAGCACCTAGCCAATGCTGCTACTTATGTTAAAGGATTTTGAGCTAGAAAGGCCCTTTTTGGTTTGGAAGAGGCCCATTTGCGTACATTTCTTTATTCCCCAGATCCGAAAGTCTGCCCTGTGCAGGTTTGCACGGGCACCGTGACCCAGTAAGGCTGTACTCCTGTCCTTGGCCTGCACCATTATCAGGGAAACGCCTCTGAGCTTTTGTACCTGGCTTATTTATTGTTGCATTCTGGCAGCCATCCCCTGGCCTCCTGGCAAAAAAATAGCTGGATTTCATTAAAATTCAATCTCTCTTGATAGCATCTCTGCTGGATATTAGAGGGGACTGCTACCAGTGGAGCTTGAGCGACCTGATTCAGAAGAGATTTGGGCCGGAGTTTTCTAAGTGCTCTAAAATTACCGTTTATAAAGTTTCTTTCTGCGTCTGCCCACTTCCTTGTGCCCTCGGCTCCCTGCCCTCCTGATGCTCTGCTCCCAACACAAAACCTCGGCCAAGTCCTGTGGCTTTTTCGAGTTGGACACTGAGATGACTCTTGCTTCATATTTCAGGTGCCAGTGCTCTCCCGCGGTCCCGAGTCCCCACTCCCGGGCGCCCTGTATGAGTGACGCCTGGGCCTGCCATGGAGCCTGGGCCTGCCCTGGCCTGGCTCCTGCTGCTGAGCCTGCTGGCTGATTGTCTGAAAGCTGCACAGTCCCGAGACTTCACAGTGAAAGACATTATCTACCTCCACCCTTCAAGTAAGACTGTTCTCTTTGCTGCAGAAATGTCACTCGAGTGCAAATAAGACTTGAATTAAAAAATGGCGGGGAGCCCTAGCCAGGTTAGCTCAGTGGATAAGGCTTCAGCCAGCAGGCTGGAGGGTCCCGGTTTTGATTCCAGTCAAGGGCATGAGCCTTGGTTATAGGCTTGATCCCAGGTCCTGGTTGGGGTGCGTGCAGGAGGCAACCGATTGATATATCTCTCTCATATCTATGTTTCTCTCTCTCTCTGACTCTCCCCCTGCCTTCCACTCTCTGAAAATCAATGGAAAAATATCCTCAGGTGAGGATTAACAAATAATAATAATAATAATAAAAGTGGCTGGGAGAAGGCAGCCTGCAGTACAGGGAAAACCTCTGATGATTTAATTGGGGGGTGCAGTGCTACCAAAAATGCCATGGGTTCTATCCTCACATTTTCTAGCATGTTTATTTTTATTTTAAGGCAAATTATCAGGCTCGTTTTCTCTGTCCCCTGCACCTTCTTCCTGATTCTGAACACCCTTCCCTTTGACTCATGCCAGCCAGTTATCAAAGTGAAATCCGTGTCCCAGGAGGAATGTGTTTGTAAAAGATCAGTCCTTTGTAGGGAAGATAATAGCCGGTCCTGTCTGTGCATCTCATTCTCAGTTTCAATGTAATTATCTTCCACGGCTTCCTGTTCCCTCTCCCTTTTGGTTTCCTGTGTGTAAGACTTACCTAGAGAGTGCATCATAATGCAGATGCACGGTCCCTTCCCTGGAGTGTCTGATCGCGTATCTGGCTAGGGCTGCACTATGGTTTCTGGCTTTTAGCAAGAATATCAGGTGCCTCTGCTGCTGATATTCTAAGGATCACACAGCACTTGCACCACCTCTCTTAGTTGGATCTTCTCTGTGTTGTCCCTGTGTTGGTGAGAGTTGTGTATATTGTGTATGTTTTGACCTTCAGCATTTGCCCTGAGGTACATTCCTCTTATGAAATAGTCTGTTCCACCTATATCTTTTTGTGTGTCCTGTGTGTCAGAACTGTGATAGGCATGAAAGACATAAAGGCAAATAAAGCGTAGTCCTTGCTTTTGAGGATCTTAGAATCTACACAGTGGAGGCCGCTCCTCGGACTCCTTTAATATCATCAGCCAGCTGCTCTACTAAACTGCATGGCCTGATCTGGATGAGAGGTAGGCCGTCCAGTCAGCCCGCCCATGGGTCAGCCACTAGCTCAACTGCTTCACAGCCTTCTGACTTGAAATAAACACCCTCACTTTGTGATGATTAAATCTAAGAATGCATACAAAGCATTTAGCACTGAATGTAGTAAGTGCTTAATAAATGTTAGGGAAATCTTTTAAAATGTTAATTTTCACATTTCTAAAGTGGATAAAATAATCTATACCCTGTCACATTGTTTTGTGGACTTAATATCGTAAATAATATCTGTAAAATGCTGGGCACATATATACTAGGCAATGGGAGACCTGTAAATTATGATGTTGCTATAATTGGCTTAGAGGGTAAACTGAGGATGCTGAAAATATGTTGCTCTAATTTTTAAATTCCAAATATGCCATTGGCAAGCGGCAAAGAGTTTCTTTAGATTTATTGCTACTGTCTCTCTCACCAGTAGAGTCCATTGCCTACTGTGAACTGTATGGGAAGCTTATCTGGATGCTTGTTTTGCAGGGCTGTTTATTTTAGTAAAATTTGTGAAAAGAAGGTGTTTTGAAAACTGCTCTGTTTTCTAGGATTGCATTTTGTTCTTTCCTCCAGTCATACTTTTTTTTTTTATCAGACTTAGTGAACAGGAACCTAGATTTCAGTCTCTTAGGTTTGAGTGCCAGAATTCTCAGCCTCTGGGCGGTTCTTTGTCTACTTCAGTGACAGACTCAGAAGTCACTGGGCCACAAAGCAGGTCCACACCTGGCTTTCTCTGAGGCTGATTGTACTCAGGATGGGGAGGAAAATCGAGGGGATTGGATGTAGGTGAGTACAAACAAAACAAACACACATCTCTCTTCTGCCTCAGTGGTATAGTGGGTCCTCTCTGATTGTGTGGGCCTCTATTTCAAAGTGAATTTCAAAATGGAATCTTTGCAGGATGACCTATGTTAATTAAATAGAGCCATAGCTTAATTAAAAAGAACTCACCATATAGAAATAATTGGTAGGTTTTTCTGATACAATTTTTAAAGATAAGAGGATAGAAGAAGCCTTTCCTAAGCTAGTTTGTATGTAGACAGGTCACCAGCAGGTCTGGGCTCAGCTCTGTGGTGGAGTCTCTGTAACTGGTCCTGGAGGGTAAAGGCTCTTGCTGGGTTGAAGTTCCCATCCATGGGTCCTCCTTGCCTAGAATTCTGTTTACCCTGCCCATGTTAAAGCACAGTTAACTTCCCATTTCTGTGCACTAGGTCAGAGATTTGTGGTGCTTGTTTACTTGTTTTTATACTTTTTTAAAATGGCCGTCGTCCTCTGCCCTGCACAGCACCCACTAGACCAGCGGTTCTCAACCTGTGGGTTCCCTGCACAGCACCCACTAGACCAGGTTCTCAACCTGTGGGTCGCAACCCCTTTGGAGGTCAAACAACCCTTTCCCAGAGGTCGCCTAAGACCATCGGAAAACACATATTTAATTACATATTGTTTTTGTGATGAATCACTATGCTTTAATTATGTTCAATTTGTAACAATGAAATTGGGGATCACCACAACATGAGGAACTGTATTAAAGGGTCGTGGCATTAGGAAGGTTGAGAACCACTGCACTAGACCATGCTTCGATGGAGTGACCTCTCCATGAATAAGCAGGTTTCTATAGAACACAGACTATGACATATACATGAGGGCAGTGTGGGATTATTTCGATCGGGAAGTATTAATATAATCGATTCACTATCTAGATGGAGGCACACACATTTTTCTTGAGGTCAGTAAGTGAGCCAGAGTCCATTTCTATTAGATACAGCTGGGAACCCACAAGGCAGAAATGCATTGATGCTGGAGACACACGTTTTCCACACCAGGCAAACATGAACTCATTTCTGCTGGGCCCGAACAGCCCTCAGAGATAATAAGTGGGTGGGCTGGGAATCCTCAGCTTCTGTGACTAATCTCCTTTGCTCTCCGATTCCCTAATCTTTGAAGCTTCTAAGCCTTAAGAGAAATAAACTTTATGGCTTTCACACTTGAGGCACTGTCCTCAGTAACATTCTTTTCCATAATCTGTATTTTATTTTTGTTTTCATGTGAGAAATGATGACTTCCTTCCCAACTGCTGATTAAAGTACCAAAACCGAATAAATCCTTTACAACTAAAGTTAGTGATAAGAGAAATGAATAGGAGATGGCAGAATTTAACATCCAAATTGACTTCAACCTGTTCTTGGCCTCCCTCCTTTTCCTTGTAATAGCAATCTTTCCTGAGATTCTCACTTTTCCACTGGTTGCATATTCTGAGTCATTCCCGTGGACCAAAGCACTGAATCCCTACAGGGGGTTTCTTATGTCAATATAGAGAACCAACTAATTTTTTTTTTCATAATTCTGTACCACATAAGCCTTAGGGAGTAAGGACACTTTTTAGAAAGGCAGCACAAAATACATTTCTTTTAGAAATTTGTTTACGGTATTAAGATACTGACAACAATTGGTAGGCAAGTGGTCTGAGAGGTAGATCAATTTATTAGATTTCTAAAAATTTTGTGTTTGCTTCTAGTTTCCAAAAACAATGGGAATTAATTTGGTAAGAATTAAAAAAGAAAAAAAAAAGCTTGGCTGCATTCCACAGAAGCATGCATTTTAAAACAAGATTCTCTTCTTGCCACCGTTTTTGGTAACTGAAGGCCTTTGTCCAGGCAAAAGTTCCAAGAGGTGGAAACAAAGAGGAAATCTTTCCCGATGCCTTCCAGATGAATTATGGTCAGTTGAACTATAGCTGACCATGGGAGTTAATGGACAGATTATGTTACAGGAAGTAACTGGGCACTTTGGCATTTCTTTTTTTTCTTGACAATCACCTTCTCTTGAGGGACCAAGGACTTATGCCCTGAACTACAGAGTACTAAGCTTATTAGCTCTGTGATCAAGAGCCAAATTAGATTCATTCACAGCTGAGGCCACAACAGTTTGAAACTCTACTTGCTCTGCAATGCTTTGAAGTAACAAAGAAAAAATAGAACATCTCTTAGGAATCTCTTTCCAGTCCTTTTATAAAAAAACTTATCAGATGCAGTATCAATTAGCAAGTTACTGGAGATAGTTGTTCAATTGTAGACCTATTTTTGGCTGAATATTTCCAGGGGGAAGAATTTAACCGTTGCTTGGTATTGTGCTATAATTATCAACTTAAAGCTGAGTCTGTCTGCAGAGATCTGTCACTGAAAAGGGTTTGGTTATTCACTGATCAGTACCGTCTGCTGAGATGTAAGTTCAGGTTCCCATAAGCAAATAGTAGCATGTGGTTGTTGACAACGCACACAGATATGAAGTTGTAGATTTAAAAAGAAAACTTACAGAAAATGAGATTGTTTGGTTAATTGTCAGTGATACATGCTGATAAACACATTCGGAGTTAAAGTGATTTGAAACAAAGCTTCATTATGCCACCTGAGTGTTTTAGTTCGTGTTCCTGTTTAAACTCTGATCTACTTTAAGTTAATTTCAGAGTTCAGTACTACTTGCATAAGAAATGACAGTATTTAATTAAACATGTCACTAGTCTTGCAAAAGATAATTTTGAAGAGTCTATTAAATAATCCCAAATTTGGCAACACTACAGCTTATTAGTGCTAGGTTCTCAAAAAGTTTATGAATGGAATGGTTGGAGTGTCAATCTTCACTCAGAGTTCTTAACTTATTTCTTTGATGGGAAAGTTCCCAGGAAAATTAACCCAACATTCCAGCTCAAAGTTCTACTGGCTGTAGCAACATTCAGATAAAATTGGATACTCTAGTGCAGTGGTTCTCAACCTTGGCTGCACATGAGAATCACCTGAGAATCTTTTTAAAATCCTGATTTCTGGGCCTCATCCTCTGGAAATCCTGTTTCTTTGTTATTAATGTTGTGGCCCCACCCCATAACAAAGAAACAGAATTTCCAGAGGATGAGGCCCAGAAATCAGGACTTTAAAAAGATTCCCAGGTGATTCTCATGTGCAGCCAAGGTTGAGAACCACTGCTCTAGTGAGTTAAACATGCCAGCTACAGTGCTATGGCTCTTTTCAGTCATGGACCTTAACCAATCTGATCATTTTTTGAGAAATGCTTTTCTTTGACAAACAGTTTACACCTGTTTTTCAAAACTCCTACTCTGTTAATCCTGCTTCAAAATTTAAAAACTGCTTTAAACTTTTACTTTTTAAAAATATGTTTTCATTTATTTCAGAAAGGAAAAGAGAGGGAGATAACCATCAATGATAACAGAGAATCACTGATTGCCTGCCTCCACTACACCCCCTGCTGGGGATTGAGCCTACAATCAGGGCATGTACCCTGACCAAGAATTGAACTGTAACCTCCTGGTTCATAGATGAATGTTCAACCACTGAACTATACCAGCCAGCCTAAACTTCTTTCTTTTAAAGATATTTATATATTAAATATCTTGAAGATGCTAGTGACTGTTTAATGGAATCAGGATGATTTACTAAACTATTTTGCAAGTTTTTTTCTCATAACTTATAAAATTAAGCCAATTAAAATGTCTATGAGAATATTTGAATGGCTTTGGAATATGAGAACCTGTTTGTTTTAAATTCTTTAGGCATGTACATCGCTAAACTAGGCTCTTTCAACTTAAATGTAACCCCCCTGTCTAGGTAGTGGGATGTGCAGATATAAAACTTACTTGTGTGCAGTTTTACAAAATAGTTTACTTCTTTTTTATTATAATTATACCTAGGGAAATTTCCTCCCAGTGAAATTTCCTCCTTGGGAATGAAGTGGTTGGATGGCTATGTCTAAGTGGCTTTCCATCCTCGTTTTCTAAGACGATCCATGTGCAAACTATCGTTCTGTTGATGAATTTGAGTCATCAACTACTTGGAGGAACATAGAACTCTCACATGGGCCCATAAACAGGTCCAGGTACCTGCCTTTTTAAAAAGACAGTTTATTACTTTTGATCTTGCTATTTTCAGAGGCAGCTATGTGAACTGTAGTAAGCAAGTGCAAGGATGGGCAGCTGTTGTAGGCAAGGTGAAAATCAAAGTTATATCTGGCCCATAATTCTGGCCTTAAGTGGCTGCCTCCTCCTTCATTTATTTTTGATAACATACGTAATTGGTTCCATGTGGGTAAAGCAATTTACCCTGAGATGATTATTTCCGCCAGTGGGATATGCAGGCTCAGGCATCTGCAAGAGAGAACAGTTGGCTTCTGCAGATGAAGTGTTTGAGTGTTTGCAGCTTTCAAAGAGGCCAGGTAATTCTACAAATTAAACACACACACACACACACACACACACACACACCCACACACACACATTCACAAGTTCTGTTTATGAAAGGCAAAGCTCTAAGCAGAAAGGCAAAGTAAGCAAATGATTAGAACTGAGCAGCAAGTAAAAGCACATCAGCAGATCGGACTGAGATAACCTGGCCTGATATTCCTTGTGCATCCTCATCCTTAAATGCTAACAAGGCATGACTCTCATGGGACGCCTCCCCCCACCCCAGCATGAATACAAGGTAGAGAATACAAGTAACTGGAGGACAGAACAAGCAACTCAGGGGTGAGGAGAGGAGGGGATGAAGAAGAGGGGCTTCAGGATGGAGCTAGGAGCCTAGAGTGCATCTGCATCCCCAGGGGCCTCCAGTGCTGCCCCACGGATGTTGGACCTGGGCCTGAGACCCCCCCCCCCGCCCCCAGGAGGGTCACCTCTGCATAGGCAGCAACTATTTTAGCATTGGAGACGCCTTTCTTACCATCCCCAGGGATTCTTAACCATGTTGGGTCTGAGCAGATAGAAATATTACAAGGAACTAAAGAAATTGCCACCTTTTCAGGAACAAAATGGTCAAACATCAGGAAAGTTTTTATGATTGAACCTAATATTTATATGTACTTGTTGACCTGTCTACATAAGTTGGCACATAAAAATAAGTCATTGGAAATTCAGAGTGCCTTTTGTAATTGAAAAATTTATTGAGATAATTGTAGATTAAGCAGTTGTAAGAAATAATATAGAAAGATTCCAGGTATACTTTACCCAGTTCCCCCCAATGGGAACATTTTGAAAAACTATAGACTAATATCACAGCCAGGTTATTGATATTGATACACCTATCCACTGGTCTTATTCAGATTCCACAGTTTTATTTGTGTACATTGTGTGTGTGTGTGTGTGCGTGTGTGTGTGTGTGTTGAATTCTGCATATTTTTATCACATGTGTAGGTTTGGGTATTTACAACTAAGTCAAGACACTAAATAGTTTCAATAGCACATGATTCCTCTTGGCCTCACATCAAGCTCCCTCTAAACCTGTCCCTACCCTCGTAACCACTAATCTTTCCTCCATTTCAAATTTTAAAATTTCCTCATTTTAAAATATTACGTATCATAAATGTTACATATAATATATAATGTTTATGGGGATTGACTTTTTTCACTCAGCATAATTCCCTGGAAATTCATCCAAGTTGGTGAATGTATTAATAGTTTATTTTTATAGCTGACTGGTGTTCTATAGCATGGAAGTACCACAGTTTAACCTTCGTCCATTGAAGGACATCTGGATTGAATCCAGGTTTTGTCTATTACAAATAAAGTTGCTGTGAATATTTGTGTTCAGACTTTTGTGAGGATGTGTCTCCATTTCTTAGAGAAATAGGACCAAGAGCGCTGAGTCATATGTTACTTGCATGTTGACTTTTTAAAGAAACTATCAAGATGTTTTGAGATGGAAAATATAAAATAAAATAAAATAAATTTAAAAATAAAATTTAAATTAAAAAAGTGAAAATGTCTAACTTCACAATGCAGGATTCTGTGCTTAGTCTAAAGCATTACTCTTCTCTCTTGATCCTTTTTGTAGCCACACCATATCCTGGTGGATTTAAGTGTTTCACCTGTGAAAAGGCAGCGGACAATTATGAGTGCAACCGGTGGGCTCCAGACATCTACTGTCCTCGAGGTAAGCTCTCAGTAGACATATTGGGGTCCCATGAGCTGACCAGGAGTGAACAGGCCTGTTTATCTTGATACAACTATAGAAGGAAGCATGCTCATAATCTCATTCGCTTCTCTTGTGCACGGCTATTTCAACTGCTTATACTACACCCATAACTTATCATCAAAAACTCTCAGAGTCATAAACTGATCCACGGGGTTGCCTCTTTTCTCACGAAGCGTCGTTGGAGCTCCAGGGAAGGTGAGTGAAGCTCACCCCAGGCCCAGTCACATGCAGGACATGAAGAGAACAACCAGCCTCTAATCCACTCTTTGAAGCATTAGTCATTGCATAGTAAGTTCCTTTATGCAAAGTATGAATCGATGTTCATATAAAAATTCCATTTATTGCATATCTTGCCGGAGGCTTTTATCCTGAGACTGCATGAAAGCGAGAATTCTAAATGTCATCATTGCATAAATGAAAACCCTGAGCTTTTTAAACTGTTCGGTTCTCTTTGAAGGATGAGACGGATCCCCAATGGAAGCATGAAATTTTGACTCAAAGGCCCATTTCAAAATGAAGTAGATGCTTCATAGTCATAGTTCTTTTATCCTATTGAATTAAAAAGATGGTTATATTTGGCCACAGAGTCATGTTAATTGGCTAGTTTATTTTTGGAAGAAAGTATTCATTTGAAGGGGAGATGGCAAGGACAAGGCAATTTATTGATAGATGTTTGAGCAATTAGTTCAGTGGGCTTTGCTGCTGATCAAATTTAGTTGTTAAAATGACTGAACACACCAACACAACGTCTGCTATTTTTAACATAGGACAAGAGTTCTCCTGCTCACCCAGTGAAAGCACTCTGTTTCTCACGGAGCATTGGGCATTGGCAGAGCCTGGAAGCACCAATTAAGAGACAAGTGTCAACTACCTAAACCAGTACTATTTAACCTATGGGTACCCACCTAGCCTGCCCAGTAGGAACTCTTGTGAGTCTTTTCAAAATCACTGGAACCTGTGCCCTGTGGTCCTAACACTTCAGCATGACCATCATTCCCTGGAAGGCTTATTAAAACACTGGCTGGTAGCTCAGTTGGTTAAAGTGTCGCTTGATATACCAAGGTTGCAGGTTTGATCCCCAGTCAGGGGACATACAAGAATAAACCAATGAAGGCATTAAAAAAAATCATTGTTTCTCTCTCTGTCTCTATCTCCCTTCTTTTCTCTCTCTTTAAAATCAAACAATAAAAAAGAAATTTAAGGCATTAAGAATTAAAATAAAACAAATTTCTGGCCCTACCCCTGTTCTCCCTCCTTCCAAGTTTCTGACTCAGGAAGTCTTGGATGAGGCCTGAGAATTTGCATTTCTAAAGAGTGAGTACCAGGTGATGCAGAAGCTGCTGGGCTCCAGACCACACATTAAGAACCACAGTCTACACACACTGAGCCGGCATCCCTGCACAGAGTATTTAAATATCCCCGGGAATTCTAGCGGACAGTCAGGAGCAAGCACCACTGGGAGCTCCCCTCCCCACTAGTAAAAAGTGTAATGTAGTGTTGCCATCTCTAGATGCCTCTTGTTTACTTTGCACTAGAGATGCCAATGGGAAAGACCACAGGGAAGAGGAAAACATGGCGACACTAAAGACTGGCTTAATCACAAGCCAGCTGTCCAGCCATCCGGTGATCACAGAGGAGCCCTGCCGCCCTGCCTTCTGCCGTGTCGCTCATTGCAGACGGAGCCAGTGTTCTCTAACATCCCACCGCAGAAGGAGCACTTGGGTAGTGTGCCGAGGGTCCTGGCGAAGCCACTGCTTCTCAAACTGGGCAACACATTCCAATCACGGGGTACATTTTTAAAAATACTGATGCCCAGGTCATTCCCAGAGATGCACGTTTATAGAGTGTGCCTGAGCATCAGGAGTTTTAGAAGCTCCCCTGTGGTTCTCGGATGTAGTAACATTTGAGAAGCCAGTGACTCTGGACTCAAACAGGATGGTTTGTTTGCGTAGCCAGTAACTTTTGGGTTGGTTCCTGCTGGGAAAAAGCTGGCAGATTAGCTTTGGCCACAGTTGCCAGTGCTCAGTACTGCTGTACAGGACATGGGACAGTGCTTCTCTCATTATCGCCTTAGCAGAGATGAGGAGAAGAAAAGGAGGGACTGTGGACTGCGCCTTGCTCAGGCTTTGGGCCGTATTTCAGAGAGACCCAGCCCAAGTCTGATGGTGTACAAATATATCCCTGTCACAAAGAGAAAAACAGGTGACTGGTGGCAATCTGCTCGAATTCCCCACAGGAAAAGACAAAGATCCCTCTTTATATTTTCTTTTGAGGACAAAATCTATCCTTCCAAAATACAGATACCCAAAATACCATTGACACAATTTCTTCTCCCTCCCCCTTTTTCCCCTACTTTTATCTTTTTGTCTATTAATTTATAGGAGTAAATGGAAAGTGCCACCTTGAGGTTCATGACACAGGACACAAGCGCTTGGGGGATTATGCAGCGAAAGATAGGAATGGGGTTTCTTCTTTCAAGGAGCATGCAGTTTAGCTGGGGAGATAAGATCTGAACATCTCAAATGTCACAAATAGCAGGACAAAGGCAAGTGCCAAATGAAACATGGCATTAAATGCTGGGGAGTTAAAGGGAAGATTTGCTCTTTGGGGGCTGAGGTGGCGGGTGAGAATGTCATGGGCTCGGAAGATGGGCAGTGGAGGGAGAAGGTGGAAGAGGACATGTCTTCTGGGAAGTCACTCAGAGCAAAGGCATGGAGACCTGATGCCCCAAGTGAGCATGGTGGGCAGGGAGAGAACTTAGCTTGGTATAGCAACTAGTTTATATCAGACAATAGTAGGAACAAGTAGGGGAGCCAGGTTATTTTTCTGGGACCTTAAACATTAGGTAAGGAATGGGTACTAAAGCCACACCCAGCTTACTTTTTTTTTAATCCTCATCCGATGATATTTTTCCATTAATTTTTAGAGAGAGTGGAAGAGAGAGGGAAAAACAGAGAGAAACATCGATGTGATAGAAACACATCAATTGATTGCCTCCCACATGCGCCAAAGTCCAAGCCGGGGAGGAGCCTGCAACCAAGGTATGTCCCCTTGACTAGACTCAAACCCAGGACCCTTCGCTCCACAGGCTGATGCTCTATTCACTGAGCTAAACTGACCAGAGCACCAGCTTACTTCTTAACCAGCCCCACTGCCATAAGCCATTTATCCTATCCTCTGGATTTACTCCAAATTTTTCTACCAATGAAAATGCCATTGCTATTATTAGATTAAAATATAAAATGTGTCTAATTACTAGAAATTATGGATTAACCCTAGGTTTGTGGTGTTGTTTTTTTCCTGTTAATTATGAGTTTGTTTGAAGCAGCTACAGGACTACCAACAGGCTTAGAAAGGGCAGCTCAGCAGCTGGTATGAAAAAAGCATACCAGCCTTTTGCAGCATTCCTGTTGTTTGTTTATTTTATGGCATGTCTAACTAGGTTTTAATTATTACGTGATGTGAAAATAACTTGTTGAAAGTAAAAAAAAAAAATTATATTAGCATTTATCTTATCTCTATGGGATAAGCCCACGTCCCAAATTGCTTAGGGGGAACACCTGAGTTTCAAGAACACTGGAAAGCTCAACTCAGCCATGTGAATGCGTGTAGGACAGATTGTGTTTTAGCAGCTGAGGTAAAGCTTTCTTACTGATTCAGCAGACGGGTTGTGAAGCATCATTTGGTCAAATAAACATCAAGAAAGCCTTGCCCTGACTAGAATCACTGTGACAGGCAGTGGTGGCATCAGCCAGCCCCCTCCAGCCAACTCAGGCTCCCTGTCACTCCTAACTCTCCAATGTGTTATATAAGTACTTCTTCCTCCGTCACTTCGTTATTGCCTCTGGCACTTACAGATTCCTGGTACCACACTCCCTCCCTAGACATGAGAACTTGAGACGCCCTTCATAACCAATCACATTCCCTCACTTCGCTAGCCTTCTGTTGAGTCATTGGCCCCTGAGCACTTCCTTTGCAATAACCTCAATTTCATCAACTGCTCATTATAAATCTGTGCAGTTTCCTTGACTTTGTGAACTGGCATGGGAAAGGATCTTGAAATCATATCCTAGGAGGGACCAGTTGAAAAAACTGGTAAAGGAAAAACAGGCGTTGAATGTCATGCTCTCAGGTCCACGTGTTCTCTTGCCTTGACTTTCTTCTGTGCTGTACCAGGTAAGAGGAAAAGCTCCTTGAGAGAAAGGGGCCATATAAGTGTTTAGAAGTCTCTGGAATTAAATGTCAAGTAAAAACCATCACAATTTTTTAAAAGGCTAGTTCTGTGGAGGCTACCTAAGGCACTAGGATTTCAAGTTCCTTTTTAATTATGAAGTGCAGATGTCTCCCTCCAAGGCAAATTCTTCATTTGGAGTTATTGCTGATATAAAATCAGACCAAGAGAAATCTTGAGATGGAGGGACACGTATCCTTTTGCTTCCAGCTTCTATGCTGCTCACTGTTGTGTGTTTTTTGTTGTTGTTTTTTTTTTGAAAGTGAAGAAAAACATGGGCATGTCCCTTAATGAGTCTTTCAATATCCATTATCTGGAATAAGCAGGAATATAAATATGATCCCAGCTCCACTGAAGACAGGCCCATGGTTACACGTTTTTAGGAAAGAGCCTTTGTTGTTGACTTTTTCAGACAGAGCCCGCGCTGAGACAAACAGCCTTTTTGTTTAACTTTACCCAGGGGTAGAATTTGTCTCTGGTACACTCAGAATGTAGCCCTTCAAGGTTCCTACCATTCCTCAGGGTCTCCATTTCAGCTCCAAACCCCAGGAGGACCCGGGTCCTTGCATCTTTTATAGTTTATATAGTAACACCCCCATCTCAGCCCAGGGAGAGAAATCAGCATTGGTCCCTGGGATTTCTCTTACTTTCTGGAGCGTTCATTTGCACATTTACAGAAGCTATTGGTCATACCTTATTCAGCACACTTGCTGCTATGTAATGAGAT